ACAGATTCCCTCTTTCTTTATGGATAGGTAGTGAGAGCAGACTGCTGAGCGCCACGCATTTGGCTTGTCAGTGAGAAAGATGAGATTACTCACATCACCGTTTTTGTAGAGGTTTGTGAAAAGGGTTTCTGGCCTCCCCTTTAGTAGATTCTGTTTAAAAGCTTTCCTCGTTGTGTCATCTTTGGCCTCTGGGGGGTAGAGAATGGACTCAGCGCTGAGGGGGAGTGGGGACATGGCGCCTGTGGGCTCTGCTACTACTGCTGCTGCAGCTCTGTTCTGCTGCACCATTGCCATGGCAACCAGTTTTGTTTGTCCACTGCTGTTGCTAGCTAGCTCCTGTTTAGCTCAAAAACCAGCAAAAAGTGTGAAAAATCTTCACACACAAAAACAGAAGATATGTTTAAAGTTAGAGTACGTGCTTCTTTTTGATTTACTCACTCAGTTTGGTCGTTTGATGTAGCTGTATTAACTCCCCTTGCTAGGTTTGTCCTAGCTCCATTTTCTGGCTGGCTTGTTAGCCTGCTGGCTAGGTTTTTGTTGTATAGCTAGCTAGAGAGAGTCAAAACTTCTTAATTTGAGGAGCAAAGTTACTTTTTTTTAATATTCTGATTGAATAGAATTGTTGTTCGTCACTTCTTGTCTTGAATTCTTTTTAGATTCAAGTGTTTCTCTTATTCTAAAAACAACAAAAAACGCAAATAAATCAGGAGCTCATGTTGAGCATGGTCTCTCTCTCTCTCTCTCTCTCTCTTGCTCCCTCTGTCTCTCTCTCTCTCTCTCTCCTCCCTCTGTCTCTCTCTCTCTCTCTCTCCCTCTCCCTCTCTCTCTCTCTCTCTCTCTCTCTCTCTCCTGTCTCTGTCTCTCCTCATCTCTGTCTCTGCCGCTCTCCTGGTCTCTTCTCCTCTCTCTGTTCCCTCTGCTCTTATCCTCTCCTCTCTCTGTCTCCTCTCCTGCTCTCGCTCCTCTCTGTGCTCCCGTCTCTCTGTCTCTCCTCTCTCTGTTCTCTCGCTCTCGTCTGTCCTCTCCTCTCTGCTCCTTCCTCTCTCGCCATCGTCCTCCTCTCTCTGTCTATTCTTCCTCTGTCTCTCCTCTCTTTGTCTCTCCTCTCTCTGTCTCTCCTCTCTCTGTCTCTCCTCTCTCTGCTCTCCTCTTTCTTCCCAGTGCAGCCACCCCATTAATCCTGTCCGCCATGTCTCATATCTTCTTCTCTCCTCTTTTCCCCACTCCACTGCTCTCTTTCCTCCCCCTCTCCCACCTCGCTCTCACCTGAGTAAGATAAATCGTCTGAGTCTCCTCACATTACCTCACAGCCTAAAGAGAGAGGGGAGGGGAGAGAGATAGAGAGAGAGACAGATGGAGAGAGAGCGAAAGGGGGGACAGAGAAGTGGGGGAGGAATTGTGCTGTATTCATGGATGGCCTGGTCATTAAATCACATTATTTTAGTACACTTAAATGGCTGACCAGACACTCACTCACTCACTTTTTCCCACACACAAAAACACACACACACACACACACACACACACACACACACACACACACACACACACACACACACACACACACACACACACACACACACACACACACACACAGTTACGTAATAGAGCACACACACACACACACGATGTAAAGGGTGGGTTTTGCATGACATGTGTGACGTGGTGTGGCTAATTTGATTCATGCCCATTCATGATGATGCTTCATCACAGAACCCAGGAAGAGAGGGAGGGAAACAGCTTTTAATGGGGTGCTAATCGTGTTATACCCTAGAAAATAGGCTACGGAGCATAACCCCTTATGCTAGTCAATGTAGGTGAGTGTGTATGTGTGTGTGTGTGTGTGTGTGTGTGTGTGTGTGTGTGTGTGTGTGTGTGTGTGTGTGTGTGTGTGTGCGTGCGTGTGTTTGTGTTTATGTATGTGTGTGTATGTGTGTTTGCATGCATATCTGTGTGTGTGTGTGTGTGTGTGTGTGTGTGTGTGTGTACTGGCTAGGTGTTCCATCATTAATGGTGTACTAAGGAAGAACGGGACACTAAGTAGGTATTGCACTTCAGCTGATTTAACAAACATATGATTGCAGTAAACAGCTCGATCACTGAGAGACGTAGCATTGCAGATCTGATTATTACTATACAAAAGCAGATACAATTTTGATGCCATTGTTTTGTTTTCCCTATTGGTTTGTAGGTCAGTGAATATAGGCCCAGGTCATTAAATATAGGCCCAGGTCATTAAATATAGGCCCAGGTCAGTGAACATAGGCCTGGGTCAGTGAATATAGCCCCAGGTCAGTGAACATAGGCCTGGGTCAGTGAATATAGCCCCAGGTCAGTGAACATAGGCCTGGGTCAGTGAATATAGCCCCAGGTCAGTGTGTATTTTAAATTACTGTATTAGATGTATGTTAGGTGACACTTTATTTAGATAGTCCAACTGTAGTTGCTCTAAAGACTATTTACAGACTATCAGTAACAATTTAACTAACTAGCTACTAACCCAAGCTCTAACCCTAACCCTAACCCTAACCCTAACCCTTACCCTTACCCTTACCCTTACCCTAACCCTAACCCTAACCCTAACAGTAACCCTTACCCTAACCCTTTGTCGTGACGTGCCTTTCATTATTGTGATGACTACTATTTATTGAATAATTACCTACTATGTTAGGAATTAGGAATTAGGAATTTGGGGCACCACGGGAAAAGTTGTTTAACGAGTTACCATTTCCCGAATTAACTCTAAAGATATCTAGATATCTCTTATCATTTAACAGTAATTTATTAATAATTTACCTCATATCAGTCTCATTCTGAAAGTCGTAGGCTCCTTAAGTCTGCACGAACACGGGTCTTACGGATATTTCCGTACCACACAAATTGATTTAATGATTTATTTACTAACTAATTAAAGATTAGATACAAACACATACACAGTATAGGTAGGGATTAGAAACTTAATACAATGAAAACGGGTCCCTAGCGGACTAACGCAATATGACACTTGTTACAAAAGATGGCAAGTTTTAAAAGAGAGAGGGAGAGAAAAACACTTGGAACACATGGACCTAAGCTCATAGTAATCCAAATACTTTGAACTGCCGCCCGTTTGGTAAGAAGTAATGCATGTATTTACGTGTTTGTCTTCGTCGTCTCTGTTGGACCCAGGCCTTCGTGGGAAGGGTCGATTGGGCCTTCTCTTTTGGGATGGCCTTTTAGATGTAAGGCTCAGATGTAAGGCTCAGATTGTCCACAAGAGGTCACAATGTTCTTCTTCTTAGTCGTCTGTTTACTTTCACTCGTTCTGGAAGTGGTCTTCTGAGGACGGCTAATCAGCTGTGTCGATGATCCCCTGTGGGGTGATGAGAGCAGTGTAGTAGACGATGGCTTGAAGAGAGTAACAGGATGGTCCCACTTAAATTCACCTTCTTAGATACAGTACTTAGAACAGCTACTCAGCCATAACATTGATTGTTAGTGGAGGCAACTTTGTCGTCTTTACCTCGTGTTGATTTTGAGGGTCGGGACCAATATGGACAACAGCTGCAGCTTGAGGTCCGTCTAGTCTGATCTGATCATTCTTATCTCAGTCTTTTATGCACTCTGGTAAAGAGGGGCGTTCCCGTCATATTGACACGCTCTCTGAGCTCCCTCGGGCGTGGCTAGTTACAAGGCAAAATTATTATCATCACTATGATTTCATTAGAAAGCTAAAATCACATTCCTATCTTCACGGAAACATTGTCTTCCTCCTTGATATTTTCTACCCAAGGTAAAGGAAGTAATCCTGATATCCACAGTGTAAAAGCTCTTCAAGACACAATGTTTTCCTTATAACGCCTTTATACAATTATTTATGACATCACAAAACAGACATACATTTTCCATATTCCATTTCTCATCATTTCCAACGTTTGGATGTTGAAATATATTGTCCCAATGTTCATTGTTGGATGTTGAAATTTTTGGGCAGCAAAAGTCTCTGAAACAAAGGACATTCCTTTCACCATAGTACTGGGCCAGAAATAGATTTTCCTATCTCAAATTTATGGCAGTATTAAGGTGTCAAGACCGGCACAGCCCTCCTTCTCTGGGTATGAGGGTCTGGTTGTTGTCGGCCATTGTCTTGGCTGATATGAGGCCTTTGATCCTCACCCAGGGAGAGTCATGATAGTCCCCCTCTGGTGGTTCAACCTTGGAAGGATTCTGCAAGTTTCCAACCAACCATAAAAAAATGACCACGGGATGTCCTGTTTGTGGATAATCGTTGCGGGCCCGTCGTCCGGTTGTCCAGGCTGGTAGATCTAGACAGTAACTTACACAGACGTTAACAACGCACAACACTTAGGCAATACATCATTACATTTCCTCTCCAAAGGGGCGGCGCTGTGGCACTAGCTGGTGGTCGTATGGGGAACTTATTTGTCGCAATATCACTTCCTTAGAGTCAAAGGAAATAAAACTGTAAAGAATAAAAACATAACGAAAGATATACACAATATAGTTCCCCCACCTTAATCATCTACTTGGACTCTATTCTATGTACGTCCATGGTCTTGGCTAAATGACTCTATCATGACATTTGTCTAATGTCATATCTAGGGCGATCCTACCTGAAGGTGGTAATTAAGGCACTCTCTAAAATGGCTCCCTCAATGACAAAGCTTCCATTGGTGGCACTACAGGGCTGACCTAGCGAACTCTGGGGAAGAAGCTGGGGAAGCTGTGGATGGGTCACCTGATGGTGTTTTGGAATCTATTGCCAGTTTTCAGAAAATCGGGATTGCTTCCATCCCACAGGTGATCCTAGCGTAAGATCTCATTAGGTCTTCCATTGCGCGTGTGAGACTGTGTACATAGTAGGTGGACACGCCAAGGGCAATAAGACCAAGGATCATGGTAACAGTCAGGATACTGTCCGGCACCATCCAAGAGCGGGTGACAGACCAATCTTTCGGCTTATAGTCAATCGGGTCAACTAAAAGTGCCTCATTCAGTACACTAAGATCAACAGTCATCGGTCCCTGGTACTGAATTTTGTTTTGAATAGCTGGTGGTAACTCAAGGGAACGTTTAGCAAAAGCGTCTGGCATTTCAATATCTGTGTCTATCCTGTCGTCAGGAAGTTGGTATAGGGCTAGGTCGTCTATGTCTATAATCGCCCCCCCTCTGGTACCTTAACAAAACATTTCTGATTGGGGAGATTCAGTTGGGTGGTTGAGTCATGGCGTTCATAAGTCATAGTGGCGGACGTGACTGGGGTGCTAATCAGCTATTGATTCCCTACCACTTCCACTTGATTGGTGGTGACTCCACCTCTTGCTGTTAGTTTGGATCTACAGCGTTCTTCGCTGGTGATAGGCTTAAGGCCACAAAGATGCTCAGTGTTATCTCTGACGAAGGGTTTGCTAGGACACAAGTAGTGGACGTCTTTGGTTAGAGTACACATTAACATGTTAGGGGTGAGATAGAAATCTGGATTGTGTTATGACTGGAGGTGTGATGATTTTCACATAGGGTGTTTTCGCGCCAAAATCCTACGTTTAGAACTGTTTTCAACCTATAGATATTCTCCAGTTCAACAACCGGCAGCGTCAGTAAAAATCCCACTTCATTTCGATTAACATCAACGTGTATTGGAATTGCAGACCCCAGACTATAGGCCAGGTGTGACTGTAATGGCTTTATCATGGTAGCTGAGGTCAATATGTTGTGCACCATTGAAAGGGGCACTAGATATGAGGGGATTCTATTCATGGCCAACTGGTCCATCGAAGAGCTAACCTCACTGAGAAAATCCTCCAACAACAATCGAACCAATTGGACATGGGCATAGTCATGGTTCATGACCTCTACTAGCTTGCATACCGACAGGAGGGTTTTGTTCAGGAGAGTAGCATGTGTGTTTACCACCAGAATAGTGTCCTGGAGAGACTTTCCCACATGCTGCAACCTGAGTGCCTGTGATTGCATCTGTTGCTGGATTAGTGGCATCTCTTCAGTAATCTCCCTAACATTTCTTTTGACCGTGGCTAGACTGATTGCGTTGACCGCAGTGGTACCTAGAGAAAATAGTGACCCTACGGCTGCACCTATTGAGAGTAGCGCCCCAAGGAATAGTTTTTCTCACCTGGGCTCTGTTAGTTCTGACTGGGTGACTGTGAACTTTTGGAGTTGGGCCAACACATGGGCAGTGTTTAGCTGAGCGTGCTTAACTGCCTGGGTGGTCCAGTCATCCACGGCCCAACTCATATGTGCAGCAGGGGAAATGTGTTGGTGGTACACATTCTCTGCATCTAGGCGGACGTACACCCTCTGCGTGTGTACTCTGCAGTTGGTTATAAGGAGTCCTGGATCATCATGGAGAACGATTCCCGTAGGGGGTCCACTCATGAGTATATCAGGTGGATTTGATTTGACCAGGGCGCAGAGTGTCAGGATCATCCAAAGGAACTCCATCCTACAAAAAAGCATAATTAGAGATATTGTTTGATTATTTCAGTTGTGTTGTGTTTTGTTGAGTTTTTTCTTTGTTTGAAAGAAAAATGTTTTGAAAACAGATTTAGCTGATTTTCCTATTTTGAACAGCACACCCAGGACAATATCAACAATGACAACGAAATGTGTGTCTTGCGGCTGGGAAGAGAAGAAAATATGTTAGGTGCAATGTACTGACCTCCTGGAAAGGATCAGCTGAGGATATTTAAGAATTTTGTTAGTACCTCTGATTGGCTAGGCTTCTATTCGGGGCTTGCACCCCTTCTATTCCCACGGGGAAAATATACAACTTGATTTGGTTCCTGTGAACCCACTTGAACGTGATGTTCTGTCGACCTTTGCTGATTCTGATTTGATAAGCAACAGGTGACAGCTTTAACACAATCTCATGTGTCCCTGTCCAGTGGGGCAGGAACTTTTTCGCAACACACACAGGTTTGGTGTGTACGTAGTACCACACCGTATCCCCGACCTCAAATTCCTGGTGTGAGTCCTGTTCGTCGTAATGGGTCTTGTCACCTTCCGCACTTCTTTCCAACTTTCCTTGAGCGTACACAAAGGTAGTCCGGAGGTGGGTTCGCAAGTCTGTCACATATTGATGGGCCGTGTACGCCGTGGCCACAGCGACATCTCCCGGTTGGTACAGGAGATGCAGTGGAAGTGTCATTTGCTGGCCTGTCATCATCTCAAATGGTGTTATTCCTGTAGACCTGTTGCGTGTGGCTCTGATCACCATCAATGCCAGTGGGAGTTTGAGGTCCCAATCTTTGTGGTTGGCTGCCACATATTTCCTCAAGATTGTGACGATTGTTTGGTTGCTCCTTTCTACCCTGTCGGAGCTCCTAGGGTGGTACGCGATGTGGAGTTTAGCTTTGACTCCCAGGAGCCGCCACAGCTCGGTCATTACAGCAGCAAAAAAAATGGGTTCCTCTGTCGCTGTCCACGGTTTCTCTTGGAAGGCCGAAACGACTGAAAACGTGGTTGAGCAAAATAATGTCTGTGGTTTCCGCTGTGTCATTGGATGCGGGCAGGCACTCCACCCCCACTTGTGAATGTGCAAGTTACTGTGAGGAGATACTTGTTGCCTCTTGCCGACCTGGCAACTGGGCCGACCCAGTCGATCTGGATCGAGCTCCAAGGGTAAGACATACCCTTGTGCTGCAAGGGTGCTCTGTGAAGTGGCTTGGAGGGTTGAAACTGGCAGCAAACTAGACACCCCCTCACGTATTTTGCCTCGTCTTGTTCCATGTGAGGCCAGTGGGCCTCCTGTCGCAATGTTTCACATGTAGCCTTGACCCCCCTATGGCCCCCACATGGCGGGTAGTGGGCATGAACTATCATTATCCCCCTCTGTGTTTTAGGAACTACCGACCTTTGTGTGGCGTCGGTTTCTGAAACATAAACCAGTAGGTCATCTACAAGTGTGAGGTGCTGTTCAGTTGCGTACAGCGAACGCCAAGTCGTGTGAGCCTGCCAAAGCCAGCTCGGACACTGGGTGATTGATAGGATCAGACAAAAAAAAAACATGACAGTGGCGAGGGACTCATCTTGGTGTTGCATTGCTACCAGTTCACCATTCAAGAGTGAATGAGTTAGCAACACATTATGTTAGTGCGAAGATGATTCCCGTGGTGCTACATGGCTAGGCGTTACTGCAGACACCATGGGTGCCTCGTGATAATTGCATCTCGAGCATCGAACACCCAAGGGGTGCCGTGAATTGCACCAGATTTCGCCATGCTGTCGGCATGGTCGTTGCCAAGTTTGTCACGACCAGGTGATTTGGAGTGTCCCTTGACTTTATTCCAATACACCTTTATGTCGTGTTTGGTTATGAGGTCATCGCAAGCTAGAATGAGCTCTTTGTTTTTCACTTCTTTGCCACTTGAAGTAGTCATGTGCTTTTGCTTCCAAAACGGCAAGTGGCATTAGAAGGTGAGTCTGGCATAGTTTGAGTCGGTGCAGATTGCCAGTTCTGACAAGTCGTGCTTTACTGCAGTTTGCAGTGTGATAAGTACACCAGCTACTTCTGCAAACTGGCTGGTCTTATTGCCTAGCTGAAATTGAAGCGTACCCTCACGGATTATTTGGCTTTTCAGAAAAGTCACCGGCTGGTGATATGTTTCTATGATCACCTTTTGTCTGCCGACATAAGAGGTGAAGTGCTTGACCACCCAGACTGTCGACAGCAGCACTTTTTCACAGTCTGAGTACTTGTGTTCAGCAGGGTTGAGTGTTTTGCTCCCGTAAGCAACCACATGTCTGTCTTGGTCGTATTTTTGGTACAACCCAGCACTAAGGCAGTGCTCTGAGAACCCTACTTCCAAAAATAACGTATTGTCTTTGTTGGGGTAGACCAGGCAGGGTGCCACACAAATCAGGTCTTTCAAAGAAGCCACAGCTTCGTCGTGAGTGGTATCCCAAACGAACGGGGTGTCTTTCTGAAGAAGACGGGTCGAAGGTTTTGACAAGTCGGCATAATTTTCGATGAATTGACGGTAGCAATTACATACTCCCAAGAAGCTGCGTACCTCATGAAGGTTTGCAGGCATTTTGATGTTGCGGACTGCTTGGATTCTGCTAGATTGTGGCAGGATTCCCTCAGCACCCACCAGAAGACCAACATAGTTGACCTTGGTCCTGCGGCCATTGTCTTTGCTGATATGAGGCCTTGGATCCTCACCCAGGGAGAGTCATGACACCTTATTATACAACGGGTGGTTTGGAATTCCCAATGATAGAGCCTCTCCTGCCCATGATACATGAGACAAGATACACATGGCCACGTTCATATTAAGTGGCATTGTTTACGTCGTTACCTAGCAACACACTACCACTACTACTTTTTTTTACAACTACTTAGCTTAGCACCTGTAACTCCTCATGGATGATTTTAAAGTTACTTTTGATTTGTTTTTTCCACTAACGTTTAATGAATGGTGCCAACAATATATTTGCGAGAAAAAAAAACATACGGGGGATTGGAAGTGATGCACACAATTACATTGATGGAAGTTACAATCTATCTGCAGTCCCCTGTAGCTCAGTTGGTAGAGAATGGCGCTTGCAACGCCAGGGTTGTGGGTTCGTTTCCCACGGGGGGCCAGTATGAAAATGTATGCACTCACTAACTGTAAGTCGCTCTGGATAAGAGTGTCTGCTAAATGACTTAAATGTTAAATATTAAAGCTGATCTACCCCCCCCCCCCCCCCCAAAAAAAAAAAGAAGCTAGCTACATCAATACAAACCAACTGGGCAGTGAAGAGCTTTCTGGAATGGCTGTCAGAGAAGGGGATAAACATTGATCTGGCAAAACAGGAGAAGGGTAATATTCTCAGGAGTTTCTACGCCACTTATTGAATAAGATGTGGTTTGATTTGCAGTTGCACTTTGACCGAAGGAAGGAAATCGCAAACTGAAGCCAGGCTCATTCATGATAAAAGAAGACAATGATGAAACCAAGAACCACAAAAATCCACTGGAAAGAGACAGAGAGAATCATTGTGGCTGCATGTATGAGAACCTAGCGGAACGAGCTCTGCCCCGTGGAAATGTGCAATTCAGTATCATAAAGAAATACCTGTCAATGCTGTGACCATCCCAAAAATGTGTCATTATGGTTTCTATTCTGATCTGCTATATCAACAATGTTTCAGCGCTGTTTTCAGATACATGGACAAGCGCCCAATGTTTCCATCTGGCATTTAATGTTCCTATGCATAGACCAGATAGAGGAGAGGAGAAGAGAGGGGAGGAGAGAGAGGAGAGAGAGGAGAGAGGAGAGGAGAGGAGAGGGAGAGGAGAGGAGAGGAGAGGAGGAGAGGAGAGGAGAGTGAGCGGAGAGGAGAGGAGAGGAGGGAGATAGAGGAGAGAGGGGGAATGAGAGAGGAAGAGGAGAGGACGAGAGGATGAAGGACGAGGGGGAGAGGAGAGAGAGGAGAGGAAGGAGAGGAATGAGGAGGGGAGAGGAGAGGAGGAGGGAGGGAGCAGGAGAGGGAGGAGCAGGGAGGAGAGACGAGGGGGGGAGGGAAGGATTGAGGCAGATCTGAGATGATGTAGGACCGAGACTGAGACGGACGCGATGGTCAGAGAGGAGAGGAGGATGAAGGAGAGAGCGAGAGGAGAGGAGAGAGCAGGGTACAGAATGCCCATACAGTCTGCTGCTTTCAGGAGCAGAGAGGTGTTTGGGAACTTGCTGTGGGACTGGGCAGTGTGTGTTGTTGTGGTGGTGTGTATGATCCCCCCAATTTTATGAGATTGGGGAGGGCACAGGAGCTGAAAAGATCACAACTTACCCTCAAAGAACCTGCAGTAATCTGCACGAGGGGTGAATCTCTCATCTTTCTCTCCATTACACAATTTTTCCTCATCCTCGCCCTTCCTTCTTTCTCCTCGTCCCCACTCTCACACTCTCAAATTCCCCGCACATCCTCCACTCTCTCTACTCTCACTCCCTCGCCACCGGTGAACCCAGACCACTATCACATCTCTAGCATTCGTGGTTTCTTCTGTTAAACAAATTGAATGCCTCATCAGATCATGCAAAAATGCAAAACGATTCAGCACACACACACATGACAACACACACACCACAACACACACACACACAACACACACACACACACACCCACACACACACACACACACACACAACACACAACACACACCCCACCCCCACACACACACACACCCCAAACACACCCCCACATTCACATTTTAAATCTGGGAAATTCAAAAACCCAGTCAATCTTTAAAAAGGTAAGGGTTTTTTTTGACATGGGGTCCCTGGTCATTGGGTCTCGGTGAACTGGAAAGTTTGGAGAGGTAAAACCCCACCCCAAAACACCCCACACACACATCTGAAAAACACCAAAAACCAGAATGTTTTTTTCATTTTCTTTGCTCTAAACATGTTTTAAGATTGTGTGAAAAAAAGGGAAATTTGAAGAAAAGAGGAGAGGGGAGCAAAGAGGTAGGGGACATGAGAGGAGAGAGATATAGAGAGGGGGAGAGAGAGATATAGAGAGGAGAGAGATAGAAGAGAGAGGGGAAAAGAGAGGAGAGAGGGGCGGGGAGAGAGAGAGGAGAAGAGGGGACAGGAGAGAGGAGAGGGAGAGGGGGAGAGAGAGATAAAGGGGAGGGGGCGAGAGAGAGAGTAGAGAGGAGGAGGAGGGGGAGAGGAGGAGAGGGGGGGGAATAGAGAGGAGAGGGGAGAGTAGAGAGTAGAGGAGAGAGGGAGGGGAAGGGGGGTGGGGGGGGGAGAGCAGGGGAGAAAAGAAAAAAAAGGGAGAGAGGAAAGGGAAAAATATAGAGAGGGGGAGAGAGGAGAAAAGGGAAAGAGGGGGAAATGGGGAAAAAAGGGAGGAGAGAAGAGCCCGAGATAAAAAGGATAGAAAGGGAGATAGGGGAAAAGGGAAAGAGACGGATAGAGGGTTTAGTGATTGAGGGGGAAACGAGAGAGGGGAGAGAGAGAGTAGAGAGAGAGAGATAGAAGGAGAGAGAGATTAGAGAGGAAAGAGAGAAAAAAAGAGGGGAAGAGAAAAGGAGGGGGGGAGGGAGGTGAGGGTGAGAGGAGGGGGAGAGGAGGGAGAGTGATAGAGGGGGGAAGAAAGAGAGAAGAGAGGATAGTGATTAGATGACAGGGGAGAGGGGAGAGGGGAGAGACCGGGGCCCCCCGAAGAAAAAATCCCCAAAATAATGGTTTTTAAAAAAAGGTCCAGTTGCCAGGCCCCACAAATTCCATCTAGTCCCCTAGAGCACCCCAAAAAAAAAAACTATCCCATACCTGGGCCCTAAAAATCAGCGCCACAGGTAACTTCCACAAAAAAGTGAATGATTGAGAGACAAGGAAAGAAGGATTTCTTTTCCCAAAAAAAAGGGAAAGTAAATTAAAACCTCCCAAATAGGATCTGGCTAAAAATAGTTGATCAGTTATAAAAACCCTTTCCCCCTTTTATGGTTGTGAGGTCTGGGGCCCGCTCACCAACCAAAAATTTCACAAAATGACAAACACCCCAAAATTTAGAACTGCATGAAAAATTCTGCAAAAAAAAAATCCTTGTGTTTCAAGTAAAACACCAAAATTTAAAGCAATTTTAGAGCAGAATTAGGGCCCCCTAAACCCCTAAATTTTTGAATCCAGGGGAAAAAAGCCGTTTTTAAAATTTAAACCACCCTTTAAAAGAAGCGGGTTCCCCAAAACTTCAAAAACAAATCCCTTAAACCCACAGGGGATATGAAAATTTGAGAAGAGGGCCCCTATGCAAGATGGTTTCTAGGACTTGTTCAAAAAATCAAAAAAGACCCCCCAGGCCCCAGGACAACAACACAAATTTTACCCCAAACCAAAAACATGAGAAAAAAAAAGAGAATTAATTGGGCCCCATTGGAAAGAAGAAACAATAAAAAAGTGAAAAATTTGAATGTTATTTGGCCCAAACAGAGAGTCACCGTGGCAGAAAACCCCGGGCCTGTGAAAGGGCCCCAAAATTAAGGAAAGGGTTTTTCTATGTTTCAGATCAGTGAGGGATAGCCTTTTTATTGAGAAAAGGCCCCCCGTAGGGGACCGGGGGTCTCAAGAGAAAACGGGAGGCTATTTTGCACAATTGGGCCCCCCAAAATGAGGGGGGGGAAAAATGGCTGCACTTCCTTAAAATCCTTGCCAAAAGGATGACCAATTTGAGGGAAAATTTTCCTAGATTACAGAAAAGAAATAAAAGGAAAATTGAAAAAAAAACCAATTTTATAAAACCCCTTATCACTGGGGGAAAAAACCACAGGGGGGCCAAACAAAAGAACAATTTCCCCCCACTTTCCCCCCATCCGGGGGGGACGGGAAAAGGAAAGGCAATGGGGGAAAGGGAAGAAAAAAGCCCACCGCCGGGAAGGGAAACCTAAGGAAAAAGGAAAAAAAGCCCCACCTCCCCTCCCCGGACCCTTTTCCCACCTAAAACCCTTCATTCTCAAATTCCCCCCACTCCCCCCTAATTCCCATTAAAACCCAAAATCCTCTTTTCCCCTCCCCCCCCTTCCTCTTTTTTCCGTCCCTCTGCTTTGGGGTTTTTGTTAATGTGGATGTGGGAAATTTCCGACTGATCTTTAAAAATTTTTACATCCACACCAGCCCCACCTCTACAAAACTAGATAAAGTAAAGTGAAGTAAAGTGTTGTTTTTTAAAAGGGCAAATTTTCTCAAACCCCATGTAGGTAAAAATAGAGAAAAGAAAAACGGGGGTTTTTTGGGGGGATAGGGAAAAAAAACCCCCCCCCTCCCCAAATCCCCCCCCTCTCCCCTCTAGCTCACCCAGGAAAGCCTATCCTTCTTCCCCCTTCCTTCCTCGCCCCTCATCTCCCTTCCCCCTTTTTAAAAAACCCCCCAAAATCCCCTTCCCCCCCTCCCCCCCCCCAAATCTACTCCTCTTTTCCCCGGGATTTTTCCTCTCTAACCCCCTTTCCCCCTTAAATCTGCTCCCCCTCCTCCTCTCTACTCTCCTCCCTTTGGGCCTTTTAAAGGGGTTTACTGGTTCCCTGAGCCCCCGGGAGGCAAATGAAATGCCCTCATGGGAAAAAACACCCCAATACACGAAAAACAAAAAAAACACATTGGGTCACACACCCCCCACACATTTGGGACGGGTTAGTCTATAAAGAAAAGGGAGGGGAGGGGGTCTGGGGGTAGGAGAAAAGGGGGGGAGGGGGTGTCTTTAAATGTAGAAAAGAAATTCACTTTTAAGACGAAAAATGGGCCCCCGCCAAACACACACACATACAAAAAAACAACACACACACACATCAAGCCTACATCCCTATCAGGGCTTAATTTGGGGATTTCAGTGCCCTTTGGGATAAAGGGGGGGAAAACGGGAGATTGCATTAAACGTGTTGGGCTTGTCTTTTATTTTCAAGAATTAATAAAGGGGGCCCCTCCGTGGTTTTCCCCAAACCCCTTTTATTGAAGCTGTTAAAACTTACTCTTTAATATCACCAAAAAGAAAAATATCTATGTGTGGGTAGTTGGGTGCTGGCAAATTTTATTTTTTTGTGGTGTTTTTCCAGGGAAAAAAATTTAAAACCCCGACTGTTTTTTAAAAGTTATTGATTTGAGATCCCCCCTATTAAATCAACTGATTTTTCAAATTTAATTTTTTATAAGAAATAGGGAAAAAAATTTATTTAAGTAAAAAAATGTTGTGTTGTTTTCATTTCTCCAGTGTTGGGTTTTCCGGCCCGACTAGAAAGAGAGGAGGAGAGGAGAGGAGGGAGAGCGGGGGAGGAGAGGGGGAGGAGAGGAGAGGAAAGGGGAGGAGAGGAGAGGAGGGGGAGAGGGAGGGGGGAGAGGAGAGGGGAGGGGGAGAGGAGGGGAGGGAGAGGAGAGGAGAGGAAAAGGGAGGGGGAGAGGGAGGAGGGAGGGAGGAAAGGAAAAGGGGAGGAGAGGAGAGGAGAAGAGGAGGGGGAAAAGGGGGAGGAAAAGGGGGAAAAGGAAAAGGAGAGGAGGGAGAGGAGAGGAGGGGAGGAGAGGGGGGGGAGGAGAGGGGAGGGGAGGAGAGGAGAAAAGGGAAAAAAGAGGAGGGGGAGTGAGGGAGGGGAAGGAAAAGGGAAAGGAAAGGGAGGAGAAAAGGGGGAAAAGAAAAGGGGAAAAGGGGGGGGAGAGGAGGAAAGGGGAAAGGGGCGGAAAGGAAAAGGGGAAAGGGGAAAAGGGAAAAGGGGGGGAAAGGGAAGGGAAAAGGGAAAAGGGGAAAGGAAGGGAAAAGGGGGGAAGGGGAAAAGGGGAAAAGGGGGGGAAGGAAGGAAGGAAGGAAAAGGAAAGGGGGGGAAGGAAGGGGAAAGAAAAGGGAAGGGGGAAGGAAAAGGGGGCAAGGAAGGGAAAAGGGAAAAGGGAAAGGAAAAAGGAAAGGGGGAAGGAAGGAAGGAAGGAAGGGAAGGAAGGAAGGGGGAAGGGAAAAAGGGGAAAAGAAGGGAAGAGAGAGAAGAGGGAAAAGAAGAGAAAAAGAAGAAAGGGAAGGGGGGAAAAGAGGGGAAAAAAAAGGGGGGAGAAGAGGAAAAGGGGAAAGGGGAAGGGGAAGGGGAAGGGGGGAAAGGGGAAGGGAAGGGGAAGGGGGGGGGGAAGGGGGGAGGGGAGGGGAGGAAAAGGGAGGGAGGGGAAGGAGAGGAAAAGGGGAAAAGGGGAGGGGGGGAGGAGGGAGAGGAGAGGAGAGGGGGAGGAGAGGGGAGGAGAGGAGAGGGGAGGAGGAAAAGGAGGGAGAGGAGGGAGAGGAGAGGAAAAGGAGGGGGAGAGGGGGGAGGAGGAGAGGAGGGAGAGGAGAAGGGGGAGGGAGGAGAGGGAGGGAGGGGGAGAGGAGAGGAGAGGAAAAGGAGAGGGGAGGGAGGAGAAAGGAGGGGAGAGGAGAGGAGAGGGAGGAGAGGAAAAGGGAGGGGAGGAAAAGGGAGGGAAGGGGGAAAAGGGGGGAGGAGAGGAGAGGAGAGGAGAGGGGAAGGAAGGAAAGGGAAAGGAGAAAAAGGAAGGAAAAGGGGGAAAAAAAAGAAAGGAGGGGGGAGGGGAAGGAAAGGAGGGAAAGGGGAGGGGGGGGGAAGGAGGGAGCAGCAAAAATTTGGACACCTTCCCCCCTTTTTAAAGGGGTTTAAAAACCGGATCCCAAATCCCCCGGCAGGAAAAGGGAAAAAACCCGGGCCCCTGGGGAAAGGGGAGGGGGAATTAAGATTTTTTTGTTCGGGGGTTTTAAGGGGAGGGGTTGGGGTGTTTTTTTAAGGCATGTTTCAAATCCAAGGCAGTAAAATGAAAATTTTAAAGATAACCCCAAACCAAAATTCCAACTTCCCCCCCGCCCCAAACGGGGGTTAATTTTTTAAAAAGGCCAAAACCCAAAAGTTTAGTTTTTTTGTTCCCTTCAAATTTGGTTTCTTTTTTACCCGGGGTTTGTGGACAAAATGGTTATGGGCCAAAAACCTTCCGCCCCCCATTTGGAATGGAATTTTCCCAAATCCCAAAAATAAAGGGGAAAGGGGTTTTTTTATAAATTTTTTAATTTTTTTTAAAAATATCCCCAAACCCTTTAAAAATTTCCTTAAAAAATTCACAGCCAAAAAAGAATTCCCTTTAAAAGCCAAATTAACCTTTAAAAACCACATTTTAATTTTGGCAGTTTACATTCCTTCTTGAAACTATTAAAGTTCTTTTTCAACCCTTTTCCCCCCCTGGGGTGGAGCAGTCCCCCCCACATGCTGCAACCCGGAAAAAAAAATTTTCCCCAACCAAAATTTACCCAAAAAAGCAACCGGGGGGAAGGGGAAAAAGGGAAAGAAAAATGGAGAAAGGGGGAAAGGGAAAAACAGCGGGAGAAAAGGGTTTTAATTTTTTTTTAAGGGTTTCCCCAAAAATTAAAACCCTTGGGGGGTCATGCCTCCCAAGGAAATTTGAGAAGAAAAATTAAAATTTTAAGAAATTGGGGGAAAAAAAAGGGGAAAAACAAAAAAAATGAGGGATTTAAAAAAAAGGAAAAGGGAAATGGTTTAAAAACATGAAGGGAGAAAAAAAAACCCTTAATGCGGGAAAGAAAGCCCAAAAAAACTTTTCCTAAAAAACAGAACCCGGAAAAAAGGGGTGGGGGAAGGGGGGGGGAGGGGGTTTGGGGCGGGTGGGGGGTGGGGAACAGAGAAAAACAGGGCCCGAATAATTTTTTGGAAGGTTTTCAAGAATTGGCAAAAAACCTTGACCGGGGGGTTGGGGAATTAACAGGGAAAAACCCCGGGAAAAAGGGTTTTTTTAGAGGAGGGTGGAAAAGGGGAAATAAAAAGTGGGGAGAGGGGAAAGGAGGGAAAGGGAAATTAGGGATGTAAAAATTAAGGAAAAGGGGGAAGGGTGAAATATTTTTAAAAAAAGAAAAGGAAGGGATTGGTGGGAAATAAACAAAAACGGAACTGTCCCCCAAACCAGCTTAGAAACAAAACCCAAACCAATTCCGTTTTTTTTTTTTTTTTTCTTTCTGTGTTGTTTTGGGGGGTTTAAATGGAAAAAAAAAAAAAACCTTTTTTGGGCCCTTTGGGTCACAGGGGGGGAAAATTTTAAAGCAAACAAATTGGGGGAAACGGGCCCAGCCCCCCAGCCCCTGGGGGGAAATTTTTTGAAAAGGGAAGGGAGGGTGGGGGGGCGAAAAACCCCAAAAAAACCCCCCCGTTTTTTTTTTTTTTTTTCCCCCTAACCCCTTAAACAAACTTTTCCCTCCAAATTTGGAAGTTTTTTTTTGGGGAAAAAGTTTTTACTTTTCATTTTTGGGAAAAACATGGTGAACGTCAAATTTTAAAAACATGACCCAGTGAAAGGGGTTTTACATACAGAAAGTGGAGCAGTCACCCCTCACATGCTGCACAGAAATGCCTCCACACAACTGTTACCTAAACAAAGCACCGGAGGTAGGGAGGGAGAGAGGGAGAGAGGGAGAGAGAGATGGAGGGATGGAGAGAGAGAGAGAGAGAAAGAGAGAGAAGGAAGCAGAGGCAGAGGGATAATTAATGTGAGGCTGTCAGAGAGGTTGAGAGGGGAACCATGGTGACGGGAGTCGGGGACATAGCCAGGTGCAGCACAGGAACACGTTAGAGAGAGAGAAGAATGGAGGGGAAATCAGAGAGTAGGAGGACGAGGGGGAAACAGAAAGAGATATGAGGATGTAGAGAAATGAAGAGAAGGGGAAATGATAGACAGATGATGAGAGGAGAGAAAAAGAGAACGTGAGATGAGGAAGAGTAAAGCAACAGAACGAGACTTTCTCTATCAGCTGAGAAACAGAACGTCACAAAGTCTTGATGGATGATTCATGTCTGTGTGTGTGTGGGGGGGGGATTTCTGTGTGTGTTTCTGTGTGTGTGTGTGTTTCTGTGGGCGCTCTACAGATGATAAATCACAGCCCCGTGTCTCCAGACATACTCCATATTGGCCAACGGCTGCAGTTATTGTTCAGCATGACCTT